GATTTTTTTTTTCATTTATAAAAAAGTAATGTAAAAATGGCATTTTTTATTAATTAGATGATTTTATTTTAATATTGGCATCACTAGATGTCCATAACAAGCAGCCTGGTTTATAAACTGACCTGAAATTTATGCATGAAAGTCAGCGACAAAATATTTGAGAGAGCACAGACCAAATTTCGAGCACTACTGGGTCTGCACGTCCACATCTGAGAGCACGGAGGTCCAGATCTGTAAAACCAGAACTAGATCTGAGTGTGAAATTGGGCTGCGTACTTGACAGCCAATGGGTTTTTATTTTAAAATGAGGAAACCAAAATCAAAAAACGAACTGTTTCCTACAAAAATAGAAAAAAGGTAATTTTTTTGTTTTGATAATAAACTATGGAAAATTAAATAAATGGGCCTTATCTGATTTTGTTTGATATCTTTTAAATGCAAATCACAAATCAATTCATGATTAATGTGGTGCACAGTGCACATGTCCCCGTCTGTTCTGCTGTGGTTTCTGCGCTGCACCTTGTGTGTGTGTATTGTTGTGTAAAATTGCCACCACACTATGTAGCAAAACTCCACCCTTGTTCCAACTGGCAGACACACAGAAATGAAGAGAATACACATAGGCTGCTTTAATTCCTGATTTCCATCTAAAATATATAAAACAAAATCAGATAACAGTCATTGATTTTGTTTTACATGTTTTATCAAAACAAAAAATTACCTGTTTTCCATTTTTGTTTCCCGATTTCTAAATGGCAACTGGAAAACAGTTCATTTTCTGATTTTAGGTTTCTCATTTCAAAACAAAAATCCATTACCTGTTAAGGACATGGACCAAAATCACCCTCGTGTGCACTCAATTCTTTAAGTGCTCAAAAGGTGGTGCTATTTGAGTTTGGTGGGCTGCTGCTCATGCATATCTAACTCTCATTTGGTTTGTGCTTTCAAATATTTTGTTAATAACTTTCCATAGCAACCTGCAACCAGGGTTTTCCCTACCACAGAAAGCATTTTTGCAGCACCTAAGCTGAATGAACATAAACATATCAGAAATAATGTAAAAATGACAGTGAGTTATATGCACTGAAAAATCAGATAAGTGACTTGATCTCAACCTGAAATGGAAGCTGTCAACAGGAATGACCTGTCAATTACAAATAAGTGTTTGGACGGATGATTGTGCAGTTGGTGTGTAGCAGCATCACCAAGCTAATCGAACAGCTGACTAGATAATTCTCTGTACCATCAACTAGGGACGGTAGCTACAGCCATCCGTAATGTTAGCCTCCACAGAGAATACATGAAGTATAGCTGTTTTGTTAGGGACCAATTCCTGTGAACTGTATCAACAGACATGTATCAACTGCTAATGAAACTAATTTAATGAACTAGATTACGTTAATCAGGGAAGCATTTTATTTGAGCTTACACCAAGTTATCTGGAAACGTTCGTGTCTAATGCCTGGTAGCTGTATAAATTAGGCGTGTTCACCTGTAATGTTCAAAATGCAGCTGAAAATTAAGATCAGGGTGTTTAGAAAAAACATGGTTTTGTCCTTAAGATTATTACGCATGTATAAAACAGGTGCTGACCGCTTCAAACACCACCACCTGTGAACACGGCCATTCTGCTCCTACACTTGTAGGGTATGCGGCCTTCCCCACTACTGTCCTCCCAGACAGAAACCTTTTTCTCCCCATTTCAAGCAGTGTAAACTTCAGTAGTCAAAAACGGTGATGCAGGTCTTCATCTAACCAAGTCAGTGCCTAAGCTATCTGAAAGCCTAGGAAAAACCCTGGCAACATTACTGATTCATGATCAGATCGATCACGTTTAATGATCAAATCAAATAATTTAACTGTTAATAACAAGTGAAGGAATCTTTTATTTTCAAAGCTTATGAACGAGGCTGTTACCTGACCAGGTGTCCTGGTACCAGTACAGGTGTATCACTACCTTCGCACCCTCTCAAGGCAGCGCCCCCTCCGAGCCCTGCCCTGGGGGGGTAAAGGGGGGTGAGGCGGGACTGGGGAGTCCAGAGAGCCAGGATCTCTCCTTCCAGGTCCAGCGCCTCGCAGGCCTTCCCTCCTGGACAGTGAGGGTGTGGCCTGTGCCCTGGTTCTTCTTGTGGTGGGTGGGGGACCTGTCCTCTCCTTCCTCCTCCCCTTTCCCCTCTCTGATCTGCAAAGACATGGGGATGGGGGTTTAGCTGTTCGACCCCTCTGCCTGACTGTGTCTTGTTTGTCAGTCTGCCCCGACTCCCTACTGAGTGTGCTCAAGTGGAGGCTGCTGGCATGGCTGGAGGGGTGGTGTGCTGACTTGTGACCTTTGGCCCTGGGGGACCCTGTGGGCCCCTCCCCAAGTGGTCTGTCAGTGTTCAGGTCTGGACTCAGACTTCGAAATAGCTGACGGATGTAGGGTGGTGGTGGCGAGCTGGAGGGGGCGGGGCCTCTGCACCACAGAAAGTGTTTGGGGGGGGTCTTCAGGATCCTCTTGGTGTCAGGATCGTAGAACCTGACAGGAAGTCGTTTGTATTTGACATTTAACCCCTGCAGATCTAGTGGACGCCTCTTCCTCCTGCAGCGTTTGGAGGTGGAGCCTGCTACTGGTGTGCTGATAGAGGTGGGGGCTAAGGGAGAGCAGAGCAGGTAGACCAAGGAGGAGCGAGGCTGCACAGGTGTAATGATGTTGGAGTACGACGAAGGAAGGCAGCGCCATGTCTGCACTTCAGGTGTCCTCTCTGCTGCTTCCTGATTGACTGCACAGACCTTGGTGGGCGTGGCCTTTTGGACATGTGGACGGACAGCCGGAATGACCAATGGTTTGGTCTGAGTGCTGTGACTGACTTTCACCACCTGAGGAAACAGACACAGGTGTTTGTTTTGATGTTCTGGTGTTTTTCAGGAACACTGGGTAAATTCTAATTCCCTTGACTGCATCCACATTTCCCCCACTTGTGTCTTAGCTCCACCCATATAAGATGCAAAGAGAGAGGAATCATGGGAAAACGTTTTTAGAAACAGGACACGCCTGAGCCATAATCTGAGGTGTCCAATCACCAGCTGCTTTTCAATAAAGGGGCGTGTCACTCCATAAAATTTAATTAAGTTTACACTTTAAACATAGCACAGTTGATCCAAAGTCATGGCTATATCCACCACTGAGGTCACTGTGGTCGTGGTCTCTGCATCAAACAACCTAGTGAAGATAAAATGTGATGAAACTCATTCAGTGTAAAGGCTCTATTCTATTATAAAGCCACGTCCGGTTCTTTCAAACCAGGAACTCAGTGAGACGAAGCGGACAACTTGAATATATAAAAAAATATAACCGTGCTGGTTTATTCAAGGAGTCACAGGCAAGAATTAACATTACACGTCCAGGCATCTTCCACCCCCAAAACTGCTCGCAGGCAGCCCGGAAGATGAAAACCCCCCGAACCTAATAGCCTATACAATTTAATCACATGGTTGGGCTAGCCCCATCCTACGCAGGCAACGTCAATCCGTGACGTCACCTGATATGCCAGCTTGGCAGCTGACCAGAGCAGTAGTCAAAACATGAAGAAAATAATGTGTGTGAATGTTGATTATGTGGTGTGTATCTAAAAACATACAGGACATTCAGGGACATGTCCGAACAGTAAGCCTCGGAAAATGTTATGATTAAGATTACGGCTGAGCATATCATGCTACTAGCAATATTCATCTGCACTCTTCAATCTAGTGACCTTGGCCTAGATGCAGCCTGCAGAACTCATGACAATGAACTGAGCATTTAACAGCCTGAGCAAGACATCCTGGCTACACTAACATTTTCTAATACAACAGATCTCTAATCAATATCTATCTAACTAAGAAATAACCTAACAAGTGTTTAAGGGAATTTAGAACTGCAGTGTTATCACAGGAGATGGACAGACGGTTTATAGATGGTGTGACACTAGCACTGATGCCCAGTACCTTGTCTCCAAAAAAATTAAGAAAGGCCTCATAATCTAAGGTTTAGAGATTTAAGGGGGTGATGGAGTTTAAAGATACAGTCAGTGATTCTAATTCCTTACACATTTTGTCATATTCAACTAAATTTTACTCACATTTCTCTGCCTGGCCTGGTTTGTGTGCTGCACAAACCCCAGGTGGCGGTGTGCTGTGCCCCCTCATTCTTCAGTTATGTAGGCTAATCTTTGTGGTAACATTACTTTGGCCAATTGGGCATTATCCGTGTCACATTAGCCTGTTTGCTAATTCAGCTTTTCCTGGAACATTCAGCTAAATTGCTAGTTTGCAAATGTATGCTGTTGTTCTAAATTCAGCTAGAGCAACTGGAGATTGTTAGAAAATAAAAGTTGAGTCTGTAGCTGGTTCGCTACATTGTGCCCCAGTTGCTAGTAATCTGCCACATCTGCTTTGGCATCATTGCTGTGTTACTGCGTGCTCATGAATTGTGAGTGACGTGGTTACAAGCTCCTAACTGAAGCACCTTGTGGATTGTGTACATGGTGATCAAAATGTAGTTAATGTAGTAAAAGATATCGTATCAAACATGTCTTTTTTTCATATATATATTTATATAGGACTAATAATTCTTAATGACGAATGTTCCACACAAACTGAAGTTAGTCACGGCGTTCCACAGGGCTCTGTGTTAGGTCCAATTCTCTTCACTTTA